AGGTGGTCATCTTCAAGTTTACAAGGTGCTCTCCCTGTATGTGTGCCTGGCCCCAGATTTCCTTTTTATGAGGACACAAGTCACATTGGATTAGGGCCCACTCTAATGACCTTGCTTTAACTTGATTAACTTATAAAGGTCCTATCTTCAAATAAGATCATATTCTGAGGTACTGAGGTTAGGACTTCAGCACATGAACTTGGGGAGGGGGAACACAGTTAAGCTCAGAACAAGAAACTTGAAAAATAGCAGCTTTTAAAAAGAAAGGACTTTTCTCCTTTAAGGCGCACTGCCCAGCATCAGATACAATCGCAATGGCAACGGTTTTCATCTTTTGGCTCAACTCTTCACTCCATCTTGAATATCCGTATGATAAATTTGTACAATATTGCAATCAATTAATGTGAATTCTGTTGAATTTAGGAAAGCATAAAGGGGTTAAGCCTCTGATTTTAATAAAATTTCAATAGGCTTTTTAAAATGTTTAATATTTTTTTAAATCCTTCCCATTCACCCCATTTTCCGTACATTGCTTTGTTTATAGAAAAACTTGGAAAGATATTTCTTTTCCAAGCATTCTACATAGTACTATGGTTTCCAGAATAAGTTTAAGACTACAAAGATTACTTACAGATTATTTCCCATCCATTCTTATCACTACATTTTATGAAATTAAAATCCTAAAAACAAGGCCGTGTGTGGAGGTTTATACTTGTAATCCCAATGCTTTGGGAGGCTGAGGTGAGAGGATCATTTGAGACCAGAAGTTTAAGATCAGCTTGGCGAACATAGTGAGAGTCCCATCTGTACAACAACAACAACAAAAATGTAAAATGAGTCAGGTGTGGCGGTGCATGCCTGTAGTCCCAGTTATTCAGGAGGATGAGGCAGGAAGATTGCTTGAGCCCTGGAGTTCAAGGTTCCAGTGAGCTATGATCATGCGCTCCAGCCTGGAAAACAGAGCCAGTCCTTGTCTGCTTAAAAATAATGATGAAATAAAATTCTAAAAACAGCAACATAAGCATGACATTGGCCTAGCAGTGAAAGTGACAGAAGACGGCGTCAGAGAAACCTTAGACATGGAAATGTAACCAGACCACAGATTCCTTATTTTAATGGTCAAGGCTCTGATTATCCCTCATATATAAAGCAATGGCCACAATTTAGAGCATTAGAAATTCTTTCTCAAAACATTTTAAGCTCCCCATTATCATTTTTATTAAATTTTTTTAAAGTTGTCATGCTATTTTCTATGCTCCATTAATCCAATAAGGTATACCCTTGATTTTCTCTTACATCAACACTGTAGATCGCAGGTATTCTAGAAGACGTACGTAGAAAGCCATCATTAAGGCAATTACGTAGTAGGTAAATTTATTCAGTAAATTTGCCAGCTTTGGTTCACAAATTCCATGATGCTGAAGCTTAATTAAGATAGTGCACTGGAGAATCAAAAGAATTCTTCCAACCAAGCTGAGCAAAATCTCCTTGGCACTTCAATGAAAGATGAGCCAAAACTAGTTCCATTCTTGAAAACCATAATTGAAATTGGATTCCCACCTAATGCTGCTGGCATGGGCTCACGTGTTTCAAAACTCCCCAATTCTGCCAACTGTATTTTTTCCTCTCTTGAAAGTGATTTTGTAATTACATAGCACTTAACCTAACAGGGAACCTATCTCTTGGCTGGAATTTATGTGGTAGAGGGAAAGGGGCACAATTTCCTCACGATCTCATTCCAACCGCAGACATGTTTGCTGACCTCTTTTTTTCATAAAACTTCCAGGTCTTTTTAGGAGGAAAAATTAAGGGCAGTGTTAAAAATGAGACTTTTCACTGATCCAAGCATAACTCAAGTCACAAGTCCTGATATTTAAGCATCATTTAGTTAAAAAAAAGTTAGTACATTTATGTAAAAAGCAATCTTGTCAGTCTGGCATAACTTACATTGGCAGTTGTGCTAAATCTGCAATTTTTCTAGTGGTCAGTCTTCGTGTTAAAAACAAAACCTTTTTTTCTCACAATATTAAGCCTATATTCCATATTAAACACCAGGGTTATTCAATTTAAAATGGTGTATTTTTAATCAACCACTGTGGGAAATTAAGTCCTAAAACTATACATGCAGCCTCATAAACTAAGATAGAATGTCTTCTAGAAAGATTATTAGAGAGTAGTATCAATGAAAGCTAGAAGCATACAGAGACTAACTTCATCCTGACCAGATTTCAATTTCTGCACAAAAATGGAAAAATCAAACCCTCCAGCTCCCAGCAAGGAAGGTAGCTTTCATTTTGTTTTATTTTTAATGAAATGGGTGTACTCTGTTCATAAATATGCCAAATGTCAATTTACTTGAACTCATTGTGAACAGCTTAGTGAAAAGGTACTGGTTAGGAAATTGGGAAACCTGTGTTCCAGACGTGGCTTTACACATAACTAGTTCTGCCACACTGAGCTGCCCTTGCTGGTCCCCAAAAGAACTGAAGAGCAACCAGGCCCTGGTGCTGGGAGATGCGACCACTGAGAGGCTGTCACAAGCTTGTCACTCCTCTAACTCAACACGCTATCATCAGTTTCTAACTAGAGCAAATTTGAAACACTGATCCCTTAGTTTCGAAGTAAGGATTGCCTTCAGGAATGTCTGACTCTAACAATAAAAATTTTTAAAAGGTCAAAACTAGAAATCTAATGAAAAAGATCTCTCTGTTCATTAATATAAACCCATCAAGGTAACATCTATATACACTTCCATGCTCACAAAAATTATTGTATAGGACACTGAAAATATTATACTGGGCAATATATCCATGGGCCTGAAATTGTGCTGCCAATAGACTCTGTTTTATTAATATGCCCCCAAAACTCCCTTTAATTTCATTTGTAATTACCCAGAAATAACTTCAGTTAATATATTTGGATGTAATTCCCCAAGAAGAAACCTAAGGTCTGTTTCTTCTTAAAGAATAAGAATCTTGAATGTGGGCCATCTTATCTTTTCAATTTCATCTTTACTTCTACATGGCTTTAAAATTTTAGCGCAGTAATTTGTGTATACTTAGGAAATGTATTTCCATTCCATCCATTCCATTTCAGTGGATTCTTATCAACTTCAAGTAAATGTAGCCCCTTTTCCATGAGCCCCAGACAGAGGTGTGCTTTCAGCATCCCCCAGCCTCCACACCCACACTTTTCATTCTAGCATTATTAGCCTGAAGAGTTAGCTCTTTGATTTTTAATTATCTATTAATTTTTCTTATTCTGGAACTACTCTGTTTTATTGAGTGAGAATTTTTGTGACAGTGTGTGTTTCCACAAGGATCGCTTCAAACATAGCAAAGGAACACTTCCGAAATATGACCTGATATACTATCCCCCTAATTTGGAAAAAATATACACTAGTATAATTTTTAATGCAGAATGAATAGCATTAACTCAGCACTGTTACCCTTTCCAGCCAGTTGTTTTGTTTAGAATTGAAAATGTTATGTCAAAAATGATGGACTTTCACAGTCTTTAGCTTGTCCAACCCAAACGGGGATGAAAGATATCTAAGAAGTGAGAGGCTTGACCAGTTCTCAAGCTGTTATGTAGTTCTCAACCCATAGACGGATATTTTTAAAATGTGAAGTACATTTGTGTCTCTTATAAAGAAAGGCAGCAAAACCAAAATGAAACAAGTTGCTGCAATTTGATGTGAGTAAATTCAGGCAGATGCCGTTATACTAACGAGATTGGAGGTCTCTCACAACTCTGCTGAGTCTTCAGCCCCTTCCTTTAGGACAATTGAGCGCTAATTCAAGTGAAGTAGGCAATGCACCAAGATAGCTTTCACAAAATATGAATGCTTCCTAGCACACTTTCCTCTGGCAGCTGCTGCTTCGTAAAAACCCCGAAATGCATAATCGCATTCATGGGGAAGTAAGCTGTGTCAAATCTATGGGTCGACCGGCAACATACCGTGATTAATCTTTTAGTACCATATGAGACGTGAATAACAGTAACAGGAGACAAAGTATGCTTTAACTTAATTATTTAGTTTTGTTTCTTATTTTCTATCTTTCTAACAAGTGTTCCAATTCATGAGCAGGACTGAGGATTATAATCTAAGGTATGTTTATCTTCAATCAGTGTGTACGTGGATGCGTGATCCATTGTGAAGTTCTGAGAAACGTGTGCACTCAGGACTTACCAAAGTTTCTACTCTCTAGAACAATATTAAACAGATAAATGTACAATATTTTTTTAAAAAAATATATATATCTCACATGTTACAGTTAGATACAAATTATACAGTAAAATAAATCCTTACAGGAGTTAGAGGAGTTGTTCTGGACATAAAAATAAACATTATCCAAATATCTGAATGAAATAGTTGCCTGTGGTCCAGCAAAAAAAAAAAAAAAAATCTGATTTATGGTGTTTAGGGTATGTACAAATAATGTACATTTACAATCTGTAAACTCATGGGAAAAACCTGATGGATTTGTGATTTGCTTATTTTTGGATACTTGCTTCCTAATGAAATGCTGCCAAGTTACTGACCACACCACAGCGATGGAGAACAAAAGATGGATCTCTAACACGCTCCACTGCAGAAGCATGTAAACGGTCTCATCTGCCTGGGGTCAGCTTGTGTATTATATATGAAACCCATGGAAAGCTAACAAATCTCAGCCTTTCATGTTATGTTTGTCACCCAAATAAAATAATCACAGTTCGGTCCCAACCACAGCAAGAACAGCCCACCCGTGTTTTTGAAGATTCTGCGATTGTGAAGATCTAGTTTTAAGTTTTAGCATTCCCTCCACATTGCTTGATGCACTGTTCACACACATTCAAGGCTAGAGCTGCTATAGCAGCATTTGATTTCCTTAAGGAATCTGATTCGAGGTAGCCTCATCTCACCTCTGGCCTCCTCCACAAGAATCCATAATTTGTTCTCACACTTTCTGCTTTCTCAAAGTCTCTTGGAGATGTCCTATTACCATCCGACAGATCATACAGACCCTGTGATCAAGTCTTGACAAGCCTCATCTCATCAGTGCCGTTTTTAATCATCGAGGGTGACAATCCATGATATATTATGTCAAAACATAGGATTCTAAATGAGGAGAGGGAGAGTGGGGGAAAAGTGACGTACTCCAAGAATAGACGTGTTTCTTTATCTAATTTTGAAAGTAAAGAGAAAGGCAAATCTGAGGTCAGGGAATCCTGTGAACTAGACAGGAGGGTGAGAGGAGACTCCCTATGAAACGCCCAAGAATGGGAGGCTGTTCATTGCTCAGCACTGTTTCTTTACCTCTTTCATCTATCAAGGAATAGAAAATCTATCTGAAGCTAAGAAGAAAAAACAAAGAAAAATTTGCCATCTTGAAGTCCGAACTCCTCCTTAGTCTCTATGCAGGCACGGGCTGACTCCCAGGTGAACTCCCTAGATCAGAGTTGGAGTGACAGCAGAGATACCTGAAAGAGGAGGGATCAGGAAGAACCGCTGCAGAAGTCATTACACCTCCTGACTAAATAGTTATCCACGAGGAACCATACCTACCGCCCGTTCCATTGAGAAGGAGCTCCTCATGGAACCAGAGGCTCAATATCCAGCACCTGTGCTGACCACACTGCAAACAGGATCCACGTTCCCTGATCACTTTTCCTCCAACTAGAGGGGCTCTCACTCCCCAAACCAGAATTCTCCAGGAGAAACAGGCAGTGGGGGAGGGATGGGGAGACTTCGATTGGTCCCACACACTCCTCCTTGTTTAATACACACCTCCTGGTCCCATACACACCTCCTGGTCCCATACACACCTCCTGGTCCCATACATACCCGCTGGGGCCTCCTGGAGCCCCAGAAGTACACCAGTACATGGAGTTCAGCATTTGTTTCCTTTTTGCTGCAGAGGTCAGGCTGGTCCAATAAAATACATGTAAATAACACTTTTACATGAAAAACTGAGAGGAACAGCCAGAGACCAGTCTGGTAGCAGGGTCTTTAGCTTTACCAAGCAGTGAAGCAAACCAGTGTTCATTTTCAAAAATCTCCTGTGACAAGAAACGGAACTGAAATATGAACTGAAAATGGTTCTCGTTCTCTTCACCTCTATTCTAACTCAGGAAAGAAATATCCAAGTTGAATGTTGAGGCCTCTAAGGAGGTCACAGAAAAGTATGTGGATGTGTTCTTTTCCCCCCAAAGGATTTCACCAGTCAAAACCTCAGATTTTGCCTGGAAAAAAAGAATTTAAAAAAAATTTTAAAATACATTTCCCCTCAAACTCTGACAACTTCTATAGCTAAATTAGAATTTATGCTTTAATAATTAACATTGAACTTAGAGATTCATTGGCATTTTACAATTTGAGAAACCTGATCTCACTGCACATTTTAAGTTATTGTGGCAAGCAAAATTATCTGAAACTTACCACAATATTGTCTAGTCTGAAAATACAAACCTCTCATCTCTGTTTGCCTCTTTGACTGCCCTCTCCCCTTTGGAGTCAGGCTTCTTGCAGGAAACCTATACACTCTCCTTCTTATTCACTTGTCAACCCACAGCAATTTTGCATTCTTTGCCATCACTCCATCAAGGTCACAAAAGTCCTAGCCTTGCCCAATCAAAGGGACACTTGGAACCATTTGGTGTGCTTCCACTTGCCCCTTGGAAATCTCCCCCATCTTCCGCAACTTCACCCACTGTGGTTCTCAGTTCCGCCCCCTCCGCTGCCCACACGTCCTCTGTGTTCCATGACACAGTGCCAGTGTCCATTATTGAACAACTCTCCTGCCTTCCCTTGAAATGTCTGTGCTCCCCAGAAGTACATCTTCAGCCCTTGTCTTTTTAATTTGCGCATGCTCAGTTCCAATGAATCCATAGCCTCAACTATTACTCAAGCCTTTTCTTCTCTCCTGTCCTCTTCCCCAACTTTATGCACGTGCGACAGAACTTCAGGACATAAATCAGCACAATGCTAGATATTAGTACTGGAAACACAGTAGGTGCAGATTGATGCATGAGTGAATGAATGAATGAATGGATGAATGCAAATGCCAGATGTACAGAAGAGGATGTTCTTGACTCTGCAGGGGATCCAAGGGCTGGATTCCAGAGAGAGAACGAGATGCCTGGATTCCATTTAGTCTCACCAGTGCAATTTCTCACGGCTACCCCACGAAGTCAGCATCATCATGACTATCCTCTTTTAATCTATGTAGACACTAAGTAGATGAATGCCTTGAACCCAGGGCTTTCTGATTCCAAAGTCTGTGTGGTTTTTTTGCTGTATTATATTGCCGCCAAAAAAAGCAGAGGAAAGAGAACCATACTTTTTCATTTTAAAAAGAATTTGCACGGTGGCTCATGCCTGTTATCCCAACATTTTGGGAGGCTGAAGGGGGCAGGTCACTTGAGCTCAGGAGTTCGAGACCAGCCAGACAACATGGTGAAACCCCATCTCCACAAAAAATACAAAAATCAGCCAGACATGGTGGTACACACCTGTTGTCCCAACTACTTGGGGGACTGTGGTGGGAAGATCGCTTGAACCTGGGAGGCAGAGGTTGCAGTGAGCTGTGATCGCACCACTGAAATCCAGCTGGGGCAATAGAGCCAGACCTTGCCTCAAAAATAAAAGAAAACAAAATAATTGGTAAAAGAAAAAAAATAGAAAAGTAAAAAGAATACCTGGCAACTTTGTCACCTCCAGGACTCCACTGCATCAAAGGTGTGGTGACTCTGCCTGGAAGGCCTGGCATATTCCCGCCAAAGTCACATGGCACCAGGAAAGAGAGAGCCATCAGAAGGAGCAGCTGTGCAGGGCTGGGTGCTCTGAGTGACATGGCCTGCAGGGTAGTTCTACCTGGGCAGTATCTAGGTGACCAGAGGACAGGGTGGGTCAGTCAGGCCCAGAGGAAGAAGTCACCCTGTAAGCTACCAGACCACGACTCCCTGGGGATTCCTAGTTACTGATTCCTAGAACCTGGAGCTCACATGAGTTTGAAGCAAGACTCAGAGAAAAAACTAGTTGCAACACAAAGTTTTGCCTTGGAAAACAATGGCTCCTGAATAGATCATGAAATTTATATGACTAAAATTACTGGTATAATTTTCTTGCTTTATTGAAATAAATAAGTCATGTTTTAGAACGTGATGACTCTTCTCTTTTCAGCTGCAATGTTTAATTTTGTAAGTACGCTTTCCGGTAGGGTGAGAGGAAATACATCTAAAAAGCTATTAAGATTTTATCAAACGTTATCAATTCACAACACAGAACTATGTCACATATGTGAGTGAGAAGGATAACCTGAAATAATTACAAATAGATTTTTGCTCACAGCAAACCCGCAACTGGGCTCTCTTAATAAATAGTCTCCTTTTACTGAAGAGTTGAATAAGTGAAAGGGATTAATTCATGGTCTGAAAACACATCTCAGCAGTGCTCAAGGGACAGTATCTCAACAGACATCTGGAGAAGCCACTGATTAATTAATAGATTAATTAATCAGACAGCTGTACTCTTAGGAGAGAATTTAATTGTTTGGATTAATAACCCTACTAATTAATCCTAAAAATCATCAACCTTACAGTTGAGAAAATGCTGATTTCCTAAAGACCCATCTGTATGATAAATATCCTTCCAAAATACTTGCTGGCTAACTAGACAATGGCATCCCAGGATACCTGTCCTATCACGAATCCAGGTGATTCTCCAGCTGGGTGTCCACTCCCCACATTCCCAGCGTGACCCAGAACCATAAGCACTTAAGGCATGAAAAGAAAGTTTTCAAATGACATTTATCTGAAACTTAAAGTACATGGCCCCCGAAAGTGACCCATTTCCTCTGAAATGGGAAGGTTCTGAATATGTGTAAAGAAACAACGTCATCCATTGGTGCAACTGGTCCACATGGCATTTTCCCAAATAAAATCAAACGAGACATCGACCCTTCTTCCATAGCACCTAACTAACCAATGAAGCAGATAGGCACAAATGTTAGTGAATGGGCAGGCTTGTTGAGTAACTTTTAAAAATAATTGCAAAAGGAATATTGTTTTTGAAGTGTGGCTACAGTAAATCTAAGTGATGTTTATCATTCTTATAATTTTATAGAGTTTTTGGTAACAGCTAAATAATAATTAGGGAAAGTGAAATACTGGAGTTCTTAATAACTCATTATTCAAATTGGATTATTACTACAATAATCTTAACAGCAAATGATAATCCCATTTTCTCTGAAAAATATATTTTTAGAGAATGAACATTAATCTCCATTATAATTTATATATACATACAAACCAAAATTTTGCCAGAGTAACAATTATGGCCAAAACCAGACTAGTAGGTCTAATAAATATGCAACTGATGGGGCCAGGCATGGTGGCTTATGCCTATAATCTTAACACTTTGGGAGGCTGAGGTGGGTGGATCATGAGGTCAGGAGTTCAAGACTAGCCTGGCCAACATGGTGAAACTCTATCTCTGCTAAAGATCACTAAAGATACAAAAAATTAGCCAGACATGGTGGTGGGTGCCTGTAATCCCAGCTACTTGGGAGGCTGAGGCAGGAGAATCACTTGAACTGGGGAAACAAAGGTTGCAGTGAGCCGAGATCACACTCCAGCCTTGGCGACAGGGTGAGGCTCTGTCTCAAAAAAAAAAAAAATGTAACTGAAAATATACTTTTTAATCAATGTTTAAAAATCATACTACATTTAAAACTTGAGAATATTTTATAAAAAGTTTGCAGTACTGAAGGCACTGAAGCAAAGACAGTCATGGGCCAATAAACCTATCTACACTATGACATATTGCTTGAAAAAGTCAGAGTAGTCATTAAAAAAAAAAAAAGGAGAATCAACAAACATATAATCCCGGCAAAGAGAAGAAAGCAAATGATGACAAAAGAAATAGTCAAATAATCTGTTTTTTCCAGCCAACTTTCAGTTACTTTTCAACGGCCTTGAGTTTCTTACTTAACTGTGAAACTGACAAACATAGAAGGGATTACAGTTAAATTCATCATGTAATCAGCATGTATCCGAAACATATTTGACATTGACATCCCTGGCTGGCACAGTCTATGCTGCTAAAAGTCTATTGCACATTCATGTGCATCTTAGTATTTAAATAATAAGAGTAATATGGAGCTGTATATAGGGCCCCTGTTATCAGTATTTTCCAGGTAAGAAAATTGAAGCATGAAGAATATGGATGGCTAGCCTACTAATTAAGAAATAGCAGCTTAGACCAGGCATGGTGGCTCACGCCTGTAATCCCAGCACTTTGGGAGACCAAGGAGGGCAAATCACTTGAGGTCAGGAGTTCGAGGCCAGCCTGGCAAAGATGGCAAAACCCCATCTCTACTAAAAATACAATAATTAGCTGGCCATGGTGGTGCCCGTCTGTAATCCCAGTTACTTGGGAGGCTAAGACAGGAGAATCGCTTGAGCCTGGGAGACGGAGGTTGCAGTGAGTCAAGATAGCACCACTGCACTCCAGCCTTGGTGACAAAGCAAGAGTCTGTCTCAAAAAAAAAAAAAAAAAAAAAAAAAAAAAAGTAGTTTAGTCAATACTAAAAATAGAGTAGGGAGTGGGAATAGTCCAGGGCACATTTATTCTAGAGGCTTAATGATAGCCATCCACCAAAAACTGGGTTAAAGAGCCAAGTTAAAATTAAAATCTGGACTGTACTGACTAACTATTGGGAAAGCTATTATAAGTTTCAAACTAATGGGGAAAATACGAGTAATCTCAAAGCTTGATATGATTACTAAGTTATATGTTGCATATAAAGCTCTTTGCATGGAGTTAATAATAGTAATGCTTATTATTATTCTCAAAAACAGATCTCATGATTTGTGCAAATATTCCAAATGTATTAGGAATTTTTAAAGAAGCTGCTCAAAGTAGAGTGAATCTGTGAGTTAGAGCAACTCTCAATACATTATATTATGCAGTGGTCTTAACAGGTAGAGCAAGTACTAAGATAGTTTATGAAAATTATTCTAACACCTAAAACTAATAGCTTCAACAAGTTTCTCATCCATAGTTTTAGTCAAGTAGGATAAATTCCATTTTCTACCTGGAGTTAGTGGAGGGATGTTCTAGTTGAATAAAAGTTCTGTTAAACAGAACTGTCACATTTCAAGATGCAGGTGTCACCAACTTCTGAGGAATGAGTATATAAATAGTTAACAAAATGATACTGAAGTTACTTCAGTTTTCCTATGAGGCTTCAGAGGCTGCTTCAACCTCTTGAATTTATCTGAAGCCCATCAGGTTGAACCCCAATTTTCTTCATATGGCCAAATTTCTGAGAGATGCCTGTTGATGACCATTTCTGATTGACTGTTAGTGAAGCATTTTTACAGTTATCTTCCGTAAGTAAAGCTGTAGTTTGGATGGGCTCTGAACTTCCTCCTGCTCCATTCTCCTTCCGTCTTTCCCCTTTGACTATTAACAGGAAGTCTGCCATCATAATAACTCTACTATATCTGTTTAATAATAGATCTTAGAGCCAGAAGTGGTGGCTCATGCTGTAATCCCAGCCCTTTGGGATGCCAAGGCAGGCAGATCATGAGGTCAGGAGTTCGAGACCAGTGTGGCCAACATAGTGAAACTCCACCTCTACTAAAAAGACAGAAAAGTTAGCCAGCTATAGTGGTGTGCACCTGTAATTTCAGCTACTCAAGAGGCTGAGGCAGGAGAATCGCATGAACCTGGGAGGCAGAGGTTGCAGTGACCTGAGATGGCACCACTGCACTCCAGACTAGAAGACAGCGAGAGACTCTGTCTCAAATAATAACAATAATAATAGACCTTAAAGTGGAAACAGCAATTTACCAATACCTGCCTTTGTAATATAATGGATTAGATAAAAACTTGTAGAACAAACTCAGTCTCAATTATATCTGCTACTCAGAACTTGGCATAATTAAAATCAATGACATTATCTATGAACTTATTCATAGTTTCATTTTACCTTCAGTCTTCTCTGCTTCCAAAACCTTTTACTACAGCTGTTAACAAAAAAGGAACAGAAACTATTGCATTCTCTACTTCCTGCTCTTCCCTAACTCTGATCACATGTTACCAAGCAAAGAAATGAGCGAGAGACGAGCGAAGGAGAGGGAAAAAGGTATCAAAGTGATCCGCTATTGATAATTCACAAACAGTCTAATTCAGACTAGGATATGGACGTGCACATTTTTGCACTTTACGCTTCTGCTCCTGTTGCTTTGTTTGCTTTTGTTTTTGAGATCGAGTGTCACTCTGTTGCCCAGGCTGGAGTGCCGTGGCATGATCTTGGCTCACCGCAACCTCTGCCTTCCAGGTTCAAGCAACTCTCCTGCCTCAGCTTTCCAAATATCTGGGATTACAGGCGCCCACCACCACACCAGGCTAATTTTTGTACTTTTAGTAGAGACAGGCTTTCACCATGTTGGTCAGGCTGGTCTCAAACTCCTGACCTCAGGTGATCCACCCATCTCGGCCTCCCAAAGTGCTGGGATTACAGGTGCCACCGCCCCAGGACATCTGTTGCTTTTTTATTTTACTTTCATAGGGATGAGTCTGCAAAAGAGCCTTAGAGCTCATACAGTGGATGTGGCCTATAATCCTTCAGACATGGAAAATGAAAGGAAGTTCAAGACATGACTGTGGAGAAGCGAGCACAGCAGAGTCAAACTTTGATACATGCTTTTGCAGTTTTAATTATTTTGAAATCTGTATTCAAGATATGTCGGTCTCTGAAAAACCTTCAGATAGGCTGCTTGAAAAACGCTGCATTCAGGCAACTGCAAATGACTAATGCAAATGCTTCAATACACAGCTGGGACATTGGTCACTATTTCCAACATATTCGCTGTAAAGAATATACCAAATTTATTGACGAAACATTTCATGGCACTTCTATAAGCTCTATTAAATGGGTGACTTTTTGCACAGACAGACTTTCTTGGTTCCTTAATCTAAAGTAGGTTTCTCACCCCTTCCCCTTAGCCTTTCCTTTGGCTTCAGTGTATGGATCAGACATTTATGATACATTTACTTGGATATTTATTGGTATGTTGTCATCTATCTCAATACTAGATTGTCAGCTCTGTTAGGATAGGGAGACAGCTCTAATTTCCTTGGGATTATAAAGCCATTTATTTTCCTAGTGCCTGATACAGAGTGAGAACTCAATGTTCAATAAAATGAACGAATGAGTGAATAGATGAGCAAATGCATGAGTGTTGGATTCCAGTCCCAGCCACTAACTTCCGGTGTGATGTAATAAAGCCACTTCCCTCTACCACACCCGAACCCAAGCCCAATCCCTCACAACCTTAATTACCTCTGCAGTGTCTCAGGACTCTACCACATAGCTGTTAAAAAATCAAACACCTAGACTACATGATCCTGATGTCTCTTCTAGCTCCAAAAGTCTAGGAGCTACCTCTGGCTTAAGGAGGTTCAAGATCTCAATGATGGATGAATGTTATGGATCCTGAATACAGTGCAAGAAAAAAACAATAATGGTAACAGCTGTGCTAGCCATCTATTCCCAGGCTGGACACTTTACATATGTTTTCTCACGAATACATATGTATTCGTCATGCATCCTTTCAATACGGGTATTATTATCTGTTTTACTGAAGAGCAGAGTGATGCACAGAAATGTTAAGCATCTTGCCCAATCCTTCAGAGCGAACATGTTCATACATGACCATCATCTAGTTTTTGGGTATTATTAAGACATGACCCAGGCTTTTAGGAGCGTAGCATCTATCTGAATTGAGTAGGGCTTTACGTTCCTGGATGTCATTTTTTAAATCATGATCACTCTTTAAATCCTCAGGAGCCAATTTCTTCTATTGGGATGTGCTGGCCACTTAACTAAGATGCCCCCTTTTCCTCTGGAGCCATCGCTGAATGTCTGTGACTATGTGAGGTGCCTTTCCGACACTCCTATGGCAGCCCGTGCCCATCTCTTTGGGCGGGCCCTGCTTCACTCTAGCTGCCTCTTCATTTCTATGGTAGAAGAGAAACATTCTGCAGCCACTAGGACAGTGGAACAATTCATATGAAAAAAAGGTAGGTCTTTGTTTAGGAAAATACCTGTTTAGTCAGGAGGATCGCTGGAGCCTAGGAGTTTGAGACCAACCTTGGCAACATAGTGAGATTCTGTCTCTACAAAAAAATAAAATTAAAAACATTGGCTAGGTGTGGTGGTACGTGTCTATAGTCCAAGCTACTCGGGAAGTTGAGGCTGGAGGATCGCTTGAGCCCATCTTCTTGAATATAAGGGTGAGGCACGCTAGGGCATTGGGAGAGAGCCAGATTCCCCACTACTTTCCAGCACTAGCTCTGATCTGTTTTTCTCGATGCTCCTGTGGCTATTTTACCCATCAGGCTAGAAAAACTGGGTAGACTTCTAGAGACAAAAGAGCTGCTTGCTGTGGGACACCACCTCCTGAGCCCTTCTCAGTGGTGGCACAGGGACTCTGAGAAGTGCTGTTGGGCGCACATGGAGGCAACGCTGCCTGGGAAGTCAGGGTGACCTATAAATGTAGATGTTATATACTTGCCACAGCTTAAGTCATTCTCCAAAAATGCCACAGAGATCTTTATATCCTTAGTTTTTTCAAATTAGTGAAAATCTCCTATTTCTAAATGAATAAAATCCCTATTCCAATGGAAAACTGAACAGCATGTTATCCAGATGTACGACTGAATTGGTTTCGTGCTAGAATGCCCATCCTTACAGTGCAAGCTGTAAGATGTAAACTGGTCATAAGGAAATGTTCAAAGCTATGTATAAAGTGTCTCCTACTCTGGCAGGTCAAGCGGATTTCACATTATTAAACTCTGTTCTTAGTATATAAGTGGGAAGAAAGAAAGAAAACTGACACATCCAGCAATGGGTGACCCTTCCCACGTGTGGTGACCCCCTTCAATTCAGCAAACACTCCCTGAGTGCCAACAGGTGCAAGGTCCCATGCTGGGCACTTGAGGGATACAAGGACAGTCAGGTAGTGCACACTCTGAAGGAGATTTATATGCCACTGGAGTTATACCTTCTTTGAGTTATACTTTTAAACCATCACGGTTTATCATTGATAAGAGTGAAGTGTTTTTCTTACCAATACAAGCATTCTCTGCAATGGCTGATTTTAAGACAGGTAGTTGCTGTTGACTTTTCTGCCATCTTGTTTTTTATTCATAAATTGATGCTGTTATTGAAACAATCTGGGTCAGAGTCTGTCTTAGATAAGTAATTTTTCCATCTATTGTCTCCATGGTTTTACATTGTTTAATAGCTTTTTAAAAAGACCTCAAAGAATAGCACTAATATACCCAGGAGAAAAAGACACACAAAGTTGTAAGGTTCATTTCATTTTAAACTTGAATACATTTAAACAAAGATAAATAATATCCAATGTCAAAAATAATCTTAATTCCTTGACTACATTAAAAACGCACACACACACACACAATTTGTTATCATTTAGTTACTTCCTACAGGAAAACAGACACTGGTAGGTAACCATTAGATTTTTCTAGGTGAAAGTAAATCATTTCTGAGAAAGCATTCTCTTTACCAAAACAGCATTATTTCCAATAAAGAAGCCTATCATTCATCTAGTTTTTGATTTATTAAATAGTTACTAAGGCCAGGTGCAGTGGCTCACACTTGTAATCCCAGCACTAGGAGGCTGAGGTGGGCAGATCACTTGAGCACAGGAGTTCGAGACCAGCCTAGGCAACATGATGAAACCCTATCTCTACAAAAAGTACAAAAATTAACCAGGCACGGCAGCATGGACCTATAATCCCAGCTACTCAGGAAGCCAAGGTGGGAGGATTGCTTGAGCCCAAGAGACAGAGGTTGCAGTGAGCTGAGATCATGCTACTGCACTCCAGCCTGGGCAATAGAGCAAGACTCTGTTTCAAAAAACAAACAAACAAACAAAAAACAGTTACTGAGCACATACAATGAGCTAAACACTAGGCTATGTAGGTGGATTTTAAATTGAGAAAAACACAGACCCAGCTATCATGGGTTTCTTTGAGAAACATTAAATAAATAACATTTCTTCCAGTTCCTATGTAGAGATAGGTACGGGCCTTTAAGAGATAAATACAATCTCTCTCTCTCCTGGAAAAGCCCCAGGAAATATTTAGGACTGTTAAACCATCAAGATTCTGGCTCTCACTTCAAATAAAGAGGATAAATAAACCTCCCTTCTCTGCATTTCTAATATAGCAAATCCTTTATATACCCTTTAAGAGTAAGTGAATTTCATATTTGCATCTTATTTGAAATGTGCTGGCATTTTGCTAGATTTTTAACTGCGATTTGGCAGCCCTGAAAAGTCTATTTGGAGAGATAAAGCAATATCTGCTCAAAGTTTCTAATTCCGGACCTATGCACATACAAATGTATGCACATATTTAGAATATGTATGATGAATGCAGTGTTGCTGGGATTAGGCAGGGATAGAAACCAGGCATGCAGGTGAATGTCCAGTGACATTATTGGATTTCATTAATTAAGTGCTGACTGTGTGTGAGGCATCACATTTATATTATATTTAATCCTCAGAGCACTAATAACAATTGCTAACATATACTAAGCATTTTTGATGTGCCAAGCTTTATTTTAAGAACACACACACACACACACACACACACACACACATACACACACACATATATATCAATGTATTTAATGCTGTCACAGCCTTAAGTTATAGTGGATTCAGACCCATGCAGTTGGATATGAAAGTCTAGGTTGGTAGCAGCTATATTTTATTGCCTTTCTAGGAAGCGCTACTACCATTCCTGCAGGCACAGATGAGGACGCCGGGGCTTGGAGAGGCTGGCTGGCTTGCTCAAGATCACACAGACAGCAAATGGCTGAGCTGGGCTTTGGACCCAGGTAGTCTGGCTCCAACTCCTAATCCTTTATGTTTCACAATGGCCAAGCTAGATTTGTCTCTGTGGCACTTATGCGAACGACAGGCTTATTCTGTGAGAATTAGAGATGGAGATAAGTGGGGAGAGTGGGGAAAATATGTAGAGGATGTTTTAAAAGTTCCTATAGAAGCAATAACCTATAAATTACTGTCTAAGCTTTTGAAAGTAAAAATGCGCATTGTTCAAATAACAATGCCAGGTAGGACACGGTGGCTCACACCTGGAATCCGAGCACTTTGGGAGGCCAAGACAGGAAGACTGCTTGAGCCTAGGAGTCTCAGACCAGCCTGGGCAACACAGTGAGACTCTGTCTCTACAAAAAATGTTTTTAAAAATTGGTTGGGGCCGGGTGCAGTGGCTCAAGCCTGTAATCCCAGCACTTTGGGAGGCCGAGGTGGGTGGATCACGAGGTCAAGAGATCGAGACCATCCTGGTCAACATGGTGAAACCCCGTCTCTACTAAAACTACAAAAAATTAGCTGGGCATGGTGGCACGTGCCTGTAATCCC